TTCCACATTCTACCCACTCCTTGATTCCACGTTTGCGTGTTTCGCCCTGGAGATGCGGTATTATGTTAAAACCACCCCCTCGGAATATGAGTCGACACCAAACATTATGTTAAAACTCACCCCGTCATCATGCCCTTCCACATTCTACCCACTCCTTGATTCCATGTTTGGGTAGTTCGCCCCGAAGATGCGGAATTATGTTAAAACCACCCCGCCCCCAAATGCGGTTTGCCCTCAAACTTTATGCTAAAACCCGCCCCTGTCATCATGCTATTCCACAATTTACGCATCCATTGATGCGGTTCGACCCCAAACATTATGTCAACATCCACCCCTGTCATCACCCCATTCCACACTCTGCCCACTCCTTGCTTCCATGTTTGGGTGGTTCGCCCGGAGATGAGTGCTGATACCACCCCTTCCAGAATGCCGTTCGCCCCCAAACATTTTGCTAAAACCCACCCCTGTCATCATGCGATTCCACACGCTACCCACGCCTGGATTCCCCCATGGCCCCCATAGCCTGAACCCACTTGATGCTCGTGATTTTAGCCCTTCGTGCTTCAGACATATACTTTGCACACGCCGGCAGCAGCATCAGTATCAGCACAAGCAAGATTGCATAGCGTCAGCGTAGCGGCCACCGGTTCGTACCATGCCCGAAGTGGCCAAGGGTTGGATTTCAGCCACAAGTTTTCCTTTTTGGTGGATGAAATTCGCGAATTACACACCCCAGCCTGAAATTACCGTCCCTGCAAGTGTTTGGTACTCTTTCGGACCTCTCTCCAGGCAAACCATCCAAATGGGCCGTCGTGGTAATAGTCATCATAGTAGTAGTAGTAGTAGTAGTAGTAGTGGCAGCAGCAGTAGTAAAAATGCTTAATGACATTACTAAGAATAACAATAGGTTTAGCTGTACGCAGGAGCCATAATTTGCAGAGATTCGTTTTAAACCCACGTACAATATGATTGCACAACGGCACCGTCCTGGCAGGCCCCTGTACACTCCCAATATGGGGCCCCTTGAATGGAGTCCCCTTTCGGGGCTTCCTCATGGTTTAGGATTTCGATTTGAATCACTAAGCAATCGTCCCCAAAACGCTGCAGCTCAGCCACGGGTGGTGAACTTCGCAACACGCCCAGGCTGCTGTCACGGCCTCATGTCAAACCGTGAGAGAGCTTACTTATCAACACTAGTCTGGTAAAGGCTGAATAATAGTAATAGTACTAATAGGAATGGGTTATAGCATACAAATACCAATCGAATAAGAATAATAGTAATGGTATGTAGAATAACAAGAAGAGTAGCAGTCATAGTCGTGGTAAGTGTCTTTGTACAAGGAAACAGCAGCAGGACTCGTAATCGTAACCATAGTAGCAATAGTCCCATTCTGCCCTTTGCAATGTACCATAAGTGTCGCAACAGCAAGACACAAGAATAGCTGCAGGAAGCACAAAGCACATGGAACGGCAAAGATTTTCATAGGAGCACTTGAAAGGTCAGAGGGGGCTCCGTAAGGATATCAAGGTCAACAATGCTGATAGCTGGGGTTAATTCGTGGCTTGTAGGCGATATATGGGTGGTTGTCAAAATTATGGTCCCTTTTTTGGGTCCCTATCATAATAATAAGGCACCTAATATTTAGGGTACCTCAAAAAGGGACCATAATTTTGACAACCACCCATATCTTGTATACGTATTAAGTGTCCTTGACCGCCTGGACCCTCCAACGAATCGTGGGCTGCAAGAGAACAACAAGGCAACAGCATTGACCAAGCTCACCTCATGTTGCAGCATGCTTACGCGTGCCCTGTCTTTTACCCTAAACCCGTCAGCCCGAAACCCCTAAACCCTGTACGCCTAGGCCCCTAAACCCTACAACGCTAAATCACTAAACCCCAAAGCCCCAAAAATGCTCAGTGGGTTCCTGCCTGGGCATTCGAGAGGGCAGGGCATGGAACTTCATGAAGCGGACAGACATTGACAGGCTGTATAGGGTTCAGGGTTAGGGTTCAGGGTTAAGGGTATAGACTTTAGAGGTTCGAATTTAAGTCGGACAGACATTGACAGACTGTATTCATGTTGCTGTCACTTCGTCATGAGCTGGGTGGCGAGCGCGCATCTCGGCCTTTGGCAGGAACTACAGGGGCCCAGAATACATCATAATTCCAATATGGTTGAAGAAAGTTTGAGACACCGTAACCATAACTTTGCAAGACATCCAAAACTGTAGGATACTTTTCAGGCGTCTACAGAAGTCAACATCGCAAATTTCTAGGTCCTTTGTGTGTGTTGCCTGCAGCATCAATCCGGCCCGGCAATTGGCAGTCCACCTGCCACAGGTGGATACTTCGGGAAATAGGGACCCTTGTAAACACCAAAACACAGAAATCTCGATTCTAGTGGCTTTCTTGAAGCGGGCTCGTAATTTCTGGAAAGTGAGGCAACAGAAAAGTGTGCTTGCCACAAGTCCAAACTCGGTAGGCACGTGACGAAACATTGGTGTTCTCGACAGTCGTACGTCTAAGAGAATGTAATTCAAACTTGCGTTTTTCCTGGCCTCCATTTCATCTTCAATTTAAGTCCATGCGATTCTCCACTACCTGCCTCGTTTAACATGGTTCCCTTACACTACGACTACGTAAACCTAAGCCCGAAACTCCCTTTGTCCCTATAACCCACCTGGAGAATCCCCAAGTAAGCCCTATGCTCACCTCCTGGGCCCCTTAATCATCTTTCTCCAAAACTTCTCCCATAATCCTAAATCCCCTAAACCCTGAACCCTAGTGCCTAAACCCTAAACCCTAAACCCTGAACCCTAATGCCTAAACCCTAATTTCTAATCCCTGAACCCCCAACTCTAATCCCTAAACCGTGAGCTAGCGTGCGAAGAAGGTGGCCTGGCCGGCGGCCACTGACAGTCTCATCTCTTCGGGCTCCCCGGAGCCTTTCAGCAGACTCCCCAAAGGGGACTGTAGGGCTTGGGGATTTAGGCTTTAAGGTTCAGGGATTAAAGATTTAGGGTTCAGGGATCTGGAAATTAGATCCCTTCAGATAGCAGAGCACCTATACAGGGTTTCTATGTTGACTATTGAGAAAACGACGGCAAGTCATGGGGATTCTACAATGATGATTACTATGGGGCTATACAGCGGATCTAATTTCATGTCAGGATGCTGCTAGACACCTGGGTTGCACAATGTGTTTCCAGCGCGTGGCCCCTAAACGCTACACCCGAATTAACCCTGAATCCCCAAACCAGAAATCCTAAACCCTGAACCCCTGAACTCTCAAATGGCGCCAGGCCTCTGCGTAGCTCAAAACGAATCAGCTCCAATTGCAGGTACAACAGCCTCTGTTGTGATTTGAGGTTTAGGGGTTTAGGGTGCCATGTCCCCAGACCCATAGAAGGTAGAGCAAGCAATATGGCTACCATTTGGCGATGTCTACCTGGAGCCCAAGGGTACGTAGAATAATAGCCCAAAACCCAAAGAAACAGCCCAAAAGGCAATCATTCTACATACTTTTGGCATTCAGGTATAGTCTGAACTCCAAACCCTATACTTTTGGTGTTCGAAGTGTACAAACGAAGCACCCCTGACTTTCCCTGTGTTGTTTCCAGATTCTTGCAAGGGTCTGGGTCAAGACATGCTCAGGGGATTTAGCCAGAGGCCTGCTTGCTTGCATTGCTACGATTCTCTGACGCTGCAGGGACAAAATGGCAAATGCAGTTGCAGTTTTGGGTTTAGGATTTAGGGTTTGGGGGTTAGGGTTGGGAGTTGCGCGTCTTTTTGCTCGATGCTGTGTGTGCGGACCAAGCCAGTATGCGGGCTGCACCCGCTGTAGGGCAAAAATGAATTTAGCGCCCTTGAGAATTTCGGGCACAGAACCGAGACATCACCCCTCTGCTAGCAAAGTCTGCTAGGCTGCCAGGGCAGCTTGCAAAACTGGCCATTGGCACACCAGGCTTTATACCTGGGGTTTGCTTGCCGTCGGGTGAGTTTCCCTCTTGCTGCGCGTGCTCTACGCATGGCCTAACTGTAGAAGACCGAATACCTAGCAAGGCTATCTCCCTCAATGCTTCAGATAACTTCAGTACAACATCCAACAACATCCTGTTCAAGCATGCCGGCTTGGGCCACTACATTGCACCGATCATGCCTTAGTGACAAAGCAATCCATGTCCATAGGTGCATGAACTTCATCACCGCCCTGCAAGCGGAGGCGATACGCATTGCACTCATCCCACTGCGCGAGAACGACTCCCTTCTCCTGGGTCAGAAACCCTACACACGACCTAACCTTGAGTCCTAAGCCCCTAAATCCTATAAGTCCATGCATGCCCTAAGCCTTCCTCACCACACGAAAAACCACAAACCAACTCCTAGAACAATATAAGGACTACAAATTCTAGGCGTCTTACGTGCAAAATTATCTACTGTGTTAGCCTAAATGAATAAACTGTATATACTAGAGTTATACACAGGATATAACAGTTTAACTGGGATTACCCTGATCATTATTCAGGATAATCCTAGAGCACAGGATATACTTGAAAAAATGCCTGGCAAAACGAGTGAAAGATCCAGGCAGTCCCTAAAACATAGAACTCTAGATAAACCTAAACCTTACACCCCAAGCCCCTGACTAACTCTAGATCATAGAGCTGAAGCCCTGGCAGCCTCTGTAACACAAACCAAAAAGCCTAAGCCCCAAACCTTAACCCATGATCCCGAAAATCCTAAACCCTGAGACCTAAATCCTGGACCCCAAGCCTAACCCTACATTCCGAACCTGCAAACCCTAAACTTCCCTAAGCCCTAAACCCTAAATCCCCAAGCCTAAAAAGTTCTAAGCCCTTATCCAGGCTCCCAGTCTTGCGGGCCACCTCCTGTCTTCGCGTAGATGGCTTGGCCAACTTTGAAGCGCAAGGGCTTAGTCATCAGGCCTCGGTTTATAAGGGGTTCTCATACCATCACGAAAAAAACCCTAAACCCTAAAGCCCCGAAGGTACCCCCCCTAGGTTTAAGGAGCTAATAGGGATCATTTTCGGCTCAATAAGGCCTAACAGGGTTCCAAATCTGGGGGGCGTACCTTTGGGGGGTGTACTATTGTAACCCCTTAGTTTAGGGTCTAGGTACCCTTTGAAGGGGGTTTACTAACTAGGGTTAATGGAAAAGAGAATGAACAACTATCTTTTTAGGGTTGAGGATTAGGCTTTGGGGTTTCTAGTTTAGGGATTAGCGTTCAGGGTTTAGAGTTTAGGGGGGGAATTATGTGAGCTTCTTCAAGGCTTGTTCAGGGTTATTCAGGGAGTATATAATTTTTTGGAGCAGGGTGTAAAGGGATGATTTGCAGTCTTTTGGGGATTAGATGAGGTCATTGGTGATGATTCAGAGTTATTGAAGAGTTGTTTGAAGATATTATCCCAACAGTGGAAAATCAAATGGAAAAGACCACGGAACATGCAATGGAAGCTCCCTAAACCCTGAACCCTAAGCCCTAACCACGTATAGGGATAATAGGGTGTTGTATCAGGCCTAGGATCCATACATAGGGGCTATATACCGCTAACGCAGGGGTTATTATGCAGGGTTTGCATGGGATATATCAAGGAGAAATAGGATTTGAGGGCTCAGGGTTAAGGGCTTCGGCTTTGTTTGGCAGATTTTGAGTTTAGAGTATACCTCTGGGTAGTAGGGAAAGAAGGATTGGCAACAAAGTGGAACCCACTAGGGACTACTCTAAACATCCAATCCTTTATTCCTTGCTACCCAAAGCCCTACACCTAAACCCTAAACCCAGAAGTAAGAGGACAGGGTACTTGGTTACAGTTCAAGGTTGAAGAACCCTAAACCCTAAACCCTAAAGCCTGAAGGTCTACAGTTTCGGGGAGGTTGGGTTCAAAGACATTAGGGCTTCGCATACGCAGTGTAATATTCCGGGGCTACGCAAGAAAATCCCTCTTGCTGGAAATTCAGATTTGGTGGTGCATTTGCTTCCATCTGTACTCAAACCACGCATCAAACCCTAAACTCCAAACCCTAGAAAAAAAACACTTGCTCTTTAGCAATCCAGAAGCATGCTTTGAAACCTTCGGTAAGTTCCTCGGCTCTCCAGAGTTTAGGGTTTAAGGGTGAAGGGTTTAGGGTTTAGAGTTTAAGGTTTAGGGCTTCTCCAAAAAAAAGTTAGGTCTCAGGTTTAGGTATAGAGCTTCACCTGGGGCCCCAAAAGTAGGCAAAATAATAGCCCCAAACACCTAAAACTAGCCCAAAAGGCCATTATTGTACGTACTTTGGGGGTTCAGGTACATTATCTTGAAAAGCTTGACGGTTATCTACTTCGAGAAGCCATTAAGGGCCCATGCAAACGACGCTCCCCAAGGTTTCGGGTTTAGAGTGTACGATCCCTCAACATAGGGCCCATATATAAATAAGCCTAAACCCTAAATCCTAAACCCTAAGCCCTGTCCCTTAACACAGCTCATACTGACAGTAGCTCTATGACCCCCCCCCCCTCCCTGGTCTCCTCTAGCCAAAACTTAACTCTAAACCCTAAACCCTAAACCCTGAACCCTAAGCTATAAATTCTAAACCTGATAGTCAAGGATCTGGTCTTCTGGGCTGCATACCTCGGCCGATGAAGATGATGCGATTCTCCCTCTTTTCCCCAGGCCCCCATGGCTTCCTGAGTCAAACTGAGGGTGTGGGGTTTATCTTTCTTCCCCCATAACCAGGGCTAGAAAAGTTTGAACGTTACTATAGAGACCCAAAAAGGTTCAAGTTCTTCTATTGGCTAAGTGATAGGGTTGAGGGTTTATAGGGTGTTGGGTTCAGGGTTTAGGACTGAAGGTTTGGGAGTTTAGGGTTAGGTTTTAGGATTTAGGTTTCAGGTTTTCAAGCTACCACAGCGAGGCACCAAACGGAAACACACGCGGAACTTTAAATGTAGGCCATTGGGGATACACACACGTATACACTAGCTTATTTAGATTACATAATTGGCGGTTGAAGCAGCTAAGGAAACCTTGTTTACCATATACCCCCTTCCTACTGCAACTCAAGTTTGGTAACAGGAACCTAGCTTCGTGAAGCCCTGGTTTCGGAGCATGTGCACGCACTGGAGGACGAACTTGTCGTTGCTACCCGCGATGTTCAAAACTGCCTTGACTCGCAAGAAGTCCTTCGCGTTTTCCTCGTTCCCCAAGTACCTGGGTTTACTGGGTTGCTGTTAAGGAACTTAACTCAAGTTACATGTAAACCAATAAGCGCAGGAGCCCTATTGATTACTCTATCACCACACTGTAGTAACTTAATTTAGGTTCCTTAACAGCAACCCAATTTAGGGCTGAGGAGAAAGGCTTTTAGGCTTGGGGTGACTTTACAGGTTTTACGGTTTAGGATTTAGAGTTGCTGTGAGGTGTTTAAACTGTCCTATCATGATACCGATGCAGGTAAGTTATGCGGCTTCAATATCATGGCACCTTACGTTAAGTTCCCTGAGCCCCTATATTCAGGGTCCTATGTATAAACAAATTCCCATTTCATATTATGGTTTCTTTTGCAAAGAATAACCTCTCAAATAAACTCCTTAGCATGCCGGGCTTACCTGCTACCCTCCGGCTACCCACCCTAAATAAACCTTAGGCCTACTCATCCCTAAATTTAGAGAGGAATTATAGGGGTAGTGAAGAGGGGGAATTGGGGACGGAACCCTACACCCTAAACCTCTGAACCCTATACCCCAACCCCTAAACCCTAACCAGGTACTGGTCCAAAAATCGCTGGAACGCGAACATCATGACCTGGCCTTCGCACCGAACACCAACGTTTGATACAGACCTGGCAAGAATTCAGGGTTTAGGGTTTAAGGTTCAGGGTTTAGGGATTAGGGTTTAGGTTTAAGGTCTTCATGAGAGGCTAGGTGTGTATGTAAAGTACCAAAGGGAGGACATATGGGACCGTATGGTCGCTATCACTACCCTAAAGCCTAAAGCCTAAACCCTACCCATGGGATGATCTTTAAGTGCACCCACCCTCTCCTGCTTCTCAACAATGTCCCGATTTATGCTCTAAAAGGAAAACTCTACAGTTTTTGAATACCTGCACCCCAAAAGTGAGCAAAATAAAAGCCCAAAACCCCTAGAAATAGCCAAGCAGGCCATTATTCTACATACTTTTGGGTTTCAGGAAGTTCACACATCTACCCTTAACCCTAAACCCCAAGCCCTAAGCTCAGCAGGGTCTCCGAACCCTTTTTTCCCCGGGGTGCTTGCTTTAAGACCTCTGATGCCCGGCCTTGCCAACCCGCTCGAACTAAACCCCCCTAAGGTTTAGGGTTTACCATAAACCCAGAACCTAAGCCCTAAAACCCAGGCTGTAAACCCTGAAATATTCTAAACCCAATTTTGAGAAACGGTTTACCTACTGCTATAGAACCACTAGAAAAACCCTAAAACCACTAAACCATATTTTGAGAAACTGTTACCTGTCCATCTTGGGCTTGTAGAACTGGCGGAACTCAGATTCGTCCATGTACTGCTCTTCGAGGACTCTCTCTAAGTTGAAGGCCCCTACGTTGAAGAGCCTGGATTGCTGTTAAGGAACTTGAATTAAGTCGTTACCATACTGGGTATATACAATACCCCTGAAGTAGATAGAATATGGGGTATATGGGGATCTTATTATAATTTAACCCAAAGCCATATTCTATCTACTTAAGGGGGGCTCTATACTCATGCTTATATATATATATATAGGTAAATAAGAGGGTTTCCCCAATCTAGTAGCTTAAATTAAGTTCCTTAACAGCAACCCGGGAGCTTGTCCATGGGTGCCTGCGCGTTTTGGCAGCGAATGATCTCGGCCGCGGCATTCAGCTCCTTGATCCTTGCCTGCCAAAGGGAGCAAAACAGGGAACCCGAGAATATAGTGGGAGTAAAATAGGACTATACCTACCAGGGTCCT